TTCTCTCTTCTAGCTTTTTCATTTCGATTGTCAGTGGCTTAAAAATCACTTCGGATCGTAGTAATAGGATGGGCTCTCTTGCATTTAGTTTTAAAACATACAACGATCAAATTCGTTACTTACTTTTATTCACTAAAAGTGTACAAGATACACGTGAATAATCCGACCGAACCCTTCTCCTATTGCACATAACGCTTTGCCTATTTATTTCATTTTTTTATGTAAATAGTTTTAGTACTACAGAATTAAAGTTACATAATATCATGGAATGAAAGAGTTACTATTCCGTTACATTTTTGTAACAAAAATTTGATAACGACGTTGCAATTTTATTTGTGACTATAATAACTAATTATAATAACTAATTAAATACTTAGATGCCAAGTTAACTTTTTCATTAACGAGAGATTTTTCCAACTCGTTATAAGTAATAATTGAATTTATTGACTTTCTAAACCTGATGATACCGTTATAGTCATAAAAAACTTATTTAAATCTATATTATTATTATAACAGAGTAATGATAAGGAAAGTAACGGTGTTACAAATAACATCTTAGTTCCATTCCCTACTCATAATTATGTGATAATAACTCAACACATATTAAAGGAAAAAATTATTACATGTTCATTCTTTATGTAGAAATCGCGGAAGAAGCAGTAAACACTACCGTCACCGTGCATCGCCCGATTGCAATACTGTCGCCAGTTTTGATAGCAGTTCCTCAGAGAGTCGAGGAGGCCTGAATCGATATTATCGCCAAGCCTGGGAGAATCTGCACGAAACCACCGGTCACAAAGCTGGCCATCCGCCGCTTCGTCGTAAGGAGACCCTGGATGAACCAGGATATCGGGAGAACTTCCGCGGTAATAACACTGAACGCGACGGCTCAGAATTAGTTGTTAGCGACGTCGCCGCATATCCATCAAGCAAACACGCCAGCGTCTCCGATAAGAAGCGTCATCATCATCATCATCATCATCATCACGGAAGCGCAACGCCCGAATGGAGACAGTCGCAATCCCATCATAGATATTAAACAGAGAACAAAACAGAAAAAAAATCTTCACATTTACTATGTCATCTGGACGATTATTTGGCGCAGTGAACGTTCGTAACTGTCATGGGTAAAAGATCCTCCTTAAATGAAGAAGCACAGTGAATTTTCCAGCACAAGTAGTACCTTGATATCATCTTATAAGAAACAGAGACGGATAATAATCCGAATGGAAAGATCCTAGATGTATTGTTCTGTTACGTTATGAATTATTTACTGTCATTATATTATGAAATGTAAATATTATACACACTATAGTTTAAAAATAAGAAGGATGAATAGTCGCTCGTCGTAAAGAAGGTGGTAGAAGTTGATCAGAGGATATGCCAAAAAGCAAAGAAATAATATACAATAATGATCAAATAGAGATGCAGTACCATAACGCTTAACAATAAATTAATCTAAGATCAAGGATTTATGTAACAATTTACATGAAAATATTTGTCTAAGGGAGCATCACACTTGACGCTCACAACGCTCACAGAATCACTTCATCTTTAAAAATGAATGTTGTTTATCAAACATTAAATTAGGATAAATAATGCTCGCGAGCATTGTAAGTGCCAAATGGAACGCACCCTAAAAGGACGCCAGATATCAGCAGAACGAACATCTGTTATGGGTACCTTGGCCTCGCTTTAAATGGACTATTTCCAACCGGATATACTGCATATAGATATCATTAAGGGAAGGCCGATGTTATCCACTTAGAAATAGGACAAATATCGTGTTGTGTACGTGTACGAATTGCATATTTACTTACACGCAAGTAAATGAGGATTCAAAGGCACACTACGGTTATGTAAGGTTAAATAAGTACGGTTAAATAAGTGCCTCGTTCATTGCTATTATATCTTCAATATATTTTATTACCGAGTTTGTATAAAATACATATATATATAATATATATTATAAGTATGTAACATTAATTATAATTATTACTTATTAAACATTTCTACTCAGCTCATTAAAATGTACGTATATTTAAGAAATAATGTAGTTATTATAATAAGTTTTTATTAATTGACTGAAAGAATTACATATGTGAAGTGACATTCGTTAATGTGATGTTACAGAAATATATCACATCATAAATATCTTAATCATTAAAGAATGCTAAATTGTTCCAAATAATTATTAATGATTTAAATATTTGAGAAAGACTGCATTTTGTATAGTATCTTTTTTATTACCCTTTTACTACACCTAATATATATATATATATATATATATATATATATGTTCTTTTATCCAAGTAAAAGGGTAATAAAAAAGATACTATACAAAATGCAGTCTTTCTCAAATATTTAAATCATTAATAATTATTTGGAACAATTTAGCATTCTTTAATGATTAAGATATTTATGATGTGATATATTTCTGTAACATCACATTAAAGAATTTAATTTTATAGCCATTGCTTGATTAGACCTCTTATTAGTTTTCTTGCCTTCTTTAATTGAGGCATATTACATTCTGATGGAGGATACATATCTGCACAATGTCCAGTGCCTTTAAATAAATCAAATAATTTATAGGAGAATTAATATAAATAATGAGAGATATCTGTAATAAATTCAATTTACCATTGATGTAGATAACAGGCATTTGTGGATTAGAAGATCATACGATGCCCAACGCATGTCAAGGATCGAGAGAACCATACTACAAATACTACATTTATCACTTATAGATTTAATGCATTATACAAAATATACGTTTGTGCGACAGTAGATTCCAATAATTTCATATTATATCTGCAAAAGAGATTTTATGTACATCAATATTCTATCATAGTTGGAATATAATTTAAGTGGAAACAAACTCAGGCCCGAAAATATCGACGCATTGCTGTACAAAAAATTCCTCTGAAATATTCTCGAACATATCAGATTGTCTGGAGGATAGGTAGAATGCGAACTCTGTATAGTATTGGTACATGAATTGACGCTCTGCAAACATTTATAATGCGCTACTAACAGACCACAATAATAAAGTAATTAAGATAATACATTCATATATTCAATATTAATTTAAAAACGTTTTTACTTCCAAGTCCTTCTCAATTGCTAGACCAGGAGACTTTTTGATAATCATGAACCATAGTGTCATATCTAAGATCCTTTCCCACAATTACTCTCCTACCTAATATTATTGAAATAAACAAGTCTTTCAAAAGATTTTCCTATGTTCTCATTTATTAATGGATCACGGCTTCGATATCATTGGAATATACAACATCAGCAATGTAATAAGTCAAATCTTCATAAAAGATGAAAATATCTTCCTTCTTTATATGTTCAAGTGAGCATAATCTATGAAATATAATTTATAAAAAAACATGAGCGTGGCATGATTAATAATTCTGTATCTTAACAAATGTACTCACTTGAATTTTTTTCCTGTTATATGCATTATAGAGTAACATTGTATTGAGTTGCGAATGAGCCTCTTTTAAAACGCTGACACATTTATCAGAATATTCTTTCAAAACATTTGTAACAACTTTATAATATTTTGTAACATAAAATTATTTATATACATGGCATACTTGTTAAACTTTCATCGTTCACAATTACGCTACCATTATATCCAATCTGTGTTAACAATAGTGCTACTAGATATAACTCCAAGTGAGGATACTTGGCACGTGTCCAAGCAGCAAAAGATCCAGCATATGATTCCCCAAATATAATCCATTGCAAATATTTGTAACATGTAATGTATATTTGTACTATTATTAACTTTTCTTTTTGCATTTATATATATTTTCCTATAATATACGTAGTGAGATGGCTTCCCATAAAAAGGATGCTCTAAACTGAAATATAAATGCTCGAAATTCTTTGATAATGTTAATCTATATCCTCAGCATATAGTTTTACCCCTTAGCATATAGTTTGCACGTATTTCACTTTCATCTTCAATGTACAAAAATATTGAGCCCTTGAGTTTATAAAAATCAGTATTAACGAAATATCTCTGTAAAGATAAATAAAGTAATAAATTATAAGCAATAGTATAAATATAAAATATAAAATGAATATCAAATTTAAACTGAAAGTAATAGTATAATACAAACTTTTTAAAGAAATAACAAATAAAACATAATGTTTTATAATTCTATATTTTGTATTATCTGTTTCCAAATACGAATGCCCACGAGTATCATTTTATCCTTGTTTAATAGTCAGTATATAAACAACAAAATAAAATGATATTCGTAGGCACAACTTAGAAGGATCCAGAATGCCTCCGCGTTTGAATACGCTACTCGCGCTCTTATTCCTCCATATAATTTGAATTTATTTATATCCATATAAATATACATAAAAAGAATCATGTTTTATTTCTGCACATGGACAGAAAATGACAATTTTATCAATTTTACTACATTCGATTCTTTATCAGTTGCACATTTACTTACACGCATATAAAGGTAGATTCAGAGACATATTACAGTTATGAAAATAAGTGATTAGTTGATCGCTCATATTTTCATTATGTATTACTGAGTTTGTATTATAAGTAGCATTAATTACAGTTGTTAATTATTGAACAATTCTATCCAACTTATTGAAATTGACATATATTTAAGAAATAACATAATTGTTATAACAATAAGTTTTTATTGATTAACTGAGATAATTACATAAAAAGTGATTGTGTAAATGTACCTCTGTGATTCCACGTATCGTAATAAAATACCAATGGGGCAAACTTGTTCAATTTGTTCAAGAAACAATTTTGTCAAACATAGTACATTATATATATTATAGATTATAAATGTATAAGAGTCACTAGATTCAAAATTTCACATTAATTAGAAATTAGAAATTAGAAATTAGAAATTAGAATAAATATATCTATTAAATATCATATATATAAATGCTCTTTCATCCTGCATAAAAAATAACAAAAAAATATTATATAAAATGCAATCTTTCTAAAATATTTGGAACATTAATAATTGTTTGGAAAAATTTGAAAAATTGGCATTCTTTAATGGCTAAGATATTTATGGTATTTATTTCTATAACATCACACAGTCAGCTCAATTTTGTAGCCACTGCTTGATTAAACCTCTTATTACTTTTCTTGCTTCCTTTAGTTGAGGCATATCACGTTCTGATGGAGGATACATATTTGCACAATGTGCAGTGCCTTTAAATAAACGTTGTAATATATTTATAGGAGAATAAATATAAATTATGAAATATCTATAATATATTCAACTTACCGTTGATATAGATGGCAGGCGCTTGTGGATTAGAAGATTGTACGATGCCCAACACATGCCAAGGATCGACAGAACCATGTACAAATACTACATTTGTCACTTGTAGATTTAATGCACCATATAAAATATTCGTTCGTGTGACTGCAGATTTCAATAAGTCCATATTATACCTGCAAAAGAACTTTTATGTATATCAATATTCTATTATAGTTGGATTATAATTTAAGTGAAAACAAACTTAGGCCCGAAAATATCGACGCATTGCTGTGCAAAAAATTCCACTGGAAATTTATTCCCAAACACATCAATCTGTCCGGTGGAGGTTTGAAAGAATCCAAACTCCGAACAGGTCTGGTATATCCATTGACGTCCTGCAAGTATCATTTATAATTTGCTATTAGCAGGCCACCATAATAAAATAGTTAAAACAATAAATATACATATATGCAATAATATTAATTTAAATGTGTTACCTCCTTCCGCTTGTTCGCTAGTCCAAGTGATGTTTCGAAGTTCATGAATCATCGTGTCATATCTATAATCTAAACACTTTTCTTTGGTAGCATTCAATATCATACTATTTACATAAGCAAGCCTGTCAATAGCCTTTTCTATTTTCTCATCTACTAATATATCACATACGGTCTCAATAGTGATATTAACAAATGAGGAGCTTTGGCGATTATCTTTATTATATTGTACAACGCTAGCAAAGTTACTAGCCAATGCTTCATATAAGTTGGAAATATCTACTAACTTTGTATATCCAGGATCAATTGGGTCACATAATCTGTGAAATACAATTTATAAGAAAACACGAGCATACCACAATCAGTAATTCTGTATCTTGGAAAATATACTCACCTAAATTTTTTCTGTATTTGCTGTTGACCAACAGTATGATGTAACATTATATTGAGTTGCGAGTTAGCCTCTTGTATTATCCTGACACATTGATCAGAATACTCTTTCAAAGCATTTGTAACAACTTGATAATATTCTGTAATACAAAAGTATTTATATACATGACACATTTGTTAAAATTTAGAATTACTCTACCAGAAAAGTCAATCTGTGCTAGTAGTGGTCCGCTAGTAGACACAGCTCCATGTACCAAATGAGGATATTTAGCACGCATCCAAGCAGCGAGAGATCCACCATATGATCCTCCAAATACAATCCATTTTGTATTTCTTGGAAGGTCAACATTAACACTGGCGATAAAATACGCTAAATCCGCTAATGCTTGTTCTGAACTCAAATACATTAAGTTCTTTACGCTAAGATCTCTGCAAATATTCATGACATAAAATAAAATATAATAATATAAAATTAGAAATTAACTTTTCCTTTTGCATTATATATTTTCCTACAACATACATAGTGGGATGACTTTTCCCATAATATCGATGCTCTAGATAGAAACACATTGCTCCAAATTCTTTGGCATACTCAATCCATTCACCCTCTACCATCCATGACGCATTCGCTGTACCTTCAGCTCCAATCATTAAAAATATTGGACCATTGGGTTTATAAAAATCAACATTAACGAAGAATCTCTGTAAAGATGTAACAAATTATAAGTAATAATATAAAGTATAAAATGAAATAGAATATCAAATTTAAAGTAATAGTACAAACTCTTTAAAAAAATAATTAATAAAACATAATGTTCTATAATTCTTATATTTTGTATTACCTGTTGCCAATCATTAACATTAGTTGGATCGAAGTGATCGAGATACTGAAGAAACCATTGATCTGTAGGAAATGGTGTGTCAGAAGACAAAATTGGATTTCCTAAATTGCCTCCTTTACTGCGACCTCTTAAGAAAGTACGCCATGCCGTAGTAATACTTAAGATACTGAATACAATTAATAGTAATGGTGTAAGACATTGCATTTTATAATATTTTTAAATTATTCGTATTTTTTATTAAAAACAGCTCTGTAAAAGAAGATATGAGTATATTTTAAAAAGACTTGTAAAATTAATTATAATAAAGAAATTAATTATTAATACATTATGTAACTGTAAATGAATGGAATACTTTTGCTTTGCATTTTTCTTTATTTAGTAATGCCAAAAAAGCTATATTGCAATCATTATTCATACAAAATGTATTTATAATGATATTCATACTCCGTTCTTATTTTAACATCATTCTAATTATTTAAGACGGCTTAAAATTTAATCGTTTTATGATTTAAGATGTTAAAATATGACTTTACGATTATCTTATATCTTTAGATTGTACTTAAGTCGGTATTGAATATATGAAATTATAAAAATACTAGTCTGTATATTTGTTATAGAAATAAGTTTATTTTACCCTTCTGTTCAGGTTATACATGAACTTTACACTTGGCCGTTACAATATGAGCGTAAGTTCTTATTTTTGAAATTGTCTGATAGAAATTTTACATAATAAGACTGATAATGATGACTGATAAGTAAAAAAGAGGAACATTATAATTGTAGTGATTGGATACAATATTTATAAACTTGAGAAAAAACATCTGTTGCATTTGACAGCTACACCTCCTATATTTTTGTCTCTTTTCTTTTTCTCTCTACGGTATTTAATTATTGTGTGTATATATATATATATATATATATATATATACCTATCTCCTTCTGAAGACCAGGCATGCGTAACATAGTACAGCTACATAGAACGAACCATGTTCATTTAATTTAATGCAACCTTCCTTGTCATCAGTCGAGATAGGCAATATAAAAATTTATTCCTTTTTAAAATTATCTTGTTAGGAAATTTATTAACATATTTTCTTCTAAGTTTGCTTTATAATTTACTTATAGCATAGCTTTCTCATAAAATTTTACTTATTGATCAAAAATTATTTTGACAAATTTTTATTAATTACTCTTCATTATTAGTAACAAATTTTAATCTCTTGCTTCACTTACTATCTTTACCTTATTAAAACATTTTTATTTTTAGAAAATACGCGTTTTTTTCATTCTACAATAAAATGAATTAAGTAAATATAATGCTATAATATGGTTATATATTTCTTTTATTTAATCGAACGTTCGATTTTATTTAATTTTTTCCTATTACGAATTCCCGGTCGCTCCGAGAATAGTGTCATCGAGAATAATAAAAATTAAAAGACTCCACGAGCGTATCGATTCGTAGTCTCATGAGTTGTCCCGTGAGCGACCATATGACCACGTGTGACGAATCGACCTGTAGCAGGCATTGTCGTAGGACGTGCCGCTAATGTCCACGAGAATACCGCGTGTTTTTTCCCGAGAACTTGAGCTAGAATTTAGAATCAGTGGTTCAATTAATGGAATGCGTGATAACGCGATGCGAATGAATTGAATTTTCTTGCTGAGATTCGAATTTAGTTCGCTGCCGCGAACTCCAAATAGTTTTTATCTCGCTACTGATTAAATATTTATCGTTGCTCCAAACAATGAACAAAGCGTTTGATCCGCTGCCGACAAAGTTTCTCAGTACGGTATAAATGCCGCTTGTAACCTCGCTTGAAACTCAGAAATCTTTAGATGAGCTCGAGTGAGTATGAAAACAATTCAGTGACTAATTTCTTATGTACTTATATGATTATTCATAATATTCTCCATTTAATGTCATTAATTGTTTCATTTCTCTAACTGCTTGAATTTTTTTTTTACAGATTAATGCAATTACGCTGTGCGTAATTAGACAATATGAAGTTTGCGGAGCATCTCTCAGCCCACATTACGCCCGAGTGGCGTAAGCAATATATTAGTTATGAGGTATAACATTGAGTACAAACATTTAAATTTTTGTTCTATTAATTCAAGGATAGTATGGGATTTTAATAAATGTTAAATTATAAATATAATTACTAGACTGCGAATATTTATTTAAAAATACTCAACTAAGTATTAACCATCGGACAGTTTTAGCAGTCGATCGTTGTTTGTTAAAGAATTATTAAAAAGTAAAGTAAAAAGAGATTGCCATCTGTAAATATACAATTTATGCAAAATGTATATTCAGTTAAGTATTTTGTATATATCCTCAGTCTAATAATTTTACATATAGATGTACTTTCAAGCACTATTTCTCTGATTTTACAGGAAATGAAAGCGATGCTTTACACGGCGGTGGAGGAAGCGCCTTCTGATGAAAGTGTAGAACCAGAAGTGATATCTCGACATTTTGCGTCTTTTGATGAGGTGTTTTTTACATTCTGTGATCGTGAATTAAAGAAGATTAATACATTTTATTCAGGTAAGAGTATTTTCGACTAAAATGTAATCTTCTCTATAAACAGTTATATTATCTGTTTACCTAGTATAATAATTGAGGATTAAAATGGATTAAAACTTTATACGTATTTTGAATCCATTGAATTCAATTGAATAAAGAAAGAACTTTTTTTAGTTTTATTTTCTTTTTATTTTTTTTTTTTAGTCTTATCTATTTAGGTTTCATTATTCTGTTCTATTGAATCTAATTGAATAAAAAAAAACAGTTGGATTCAATTGGATTGAAAAACTGTATCTCTTATTCAGAATTTTAAATTGAGCAGTAATATACATTGGCATTGAAAAATAATATTTTTATATTAAAAGGCGTATAGAAATGTGCTTTTTCATGCTGCAATTTCTATAAATAAATCAAAATGCATTCGAAGAAAGATTTATTTTAATGTTCACGAGTATGTATTTCTTAAAATTTGAATTCATTTGAATACATTTTAATTCATTCTCGTTTACTGGGCATTTATTGCAGAAAAATTGGCAGAGGCTACACGCAAATATGCTGCTTTACAAAGTGAATTGAAAACTGCAGTGGAGCTGCAACAGGGAAGTGGGAAGAACAAAGGAAAAGTTACCGCAAAGCCACTTCTGCCTACCAGAAAACTTAGGGACTTAAAACTTGCATTTTCAGAATTTTATCTTTCGTTAATCCTTCTTCAAAATTATCAGACTCTTAATCACACTGGATTCCGCAAGATTCTCAAAAAACATGACAAGGTATCTTATTGCATATAGTCATGTTATCATGTTTTTTGTCATTTTTTGCCTATTAGTCACAGCTTATGTAATTTCAGAGGCTACAATTATCCCAATATCATTAACATCATGTCTTTCCTCTCGTAGTTGCAAAATATTGGTGCAAGAAACAACTGTTATGTATGACACAATACCTATATTCCTTGTGTATATCCAAGTAAATCAGTAATTGTCCTTGACATTTTATATTATTCAATTATATTATTTAATTACAGTGATTTTTAATTCCTACAATACATTATCAAATGCTTCCAGTTATTGTCAGTTGACGCCGGTACAAAATGGAGAGTCGAGTGCGTGGAAACGTCACATTTCTACACGTCCAAAGATATAGACAAATTGATCCAGGAAACAGAAGCTACAGTGACGAACGATCTCGAAGGTGGCGATCGACAACGCGCTATGAAACGTCTTCGGGTACCACCGCTTGGCGAATCCCAAAGTCCATGGACTACTTTCAAAGTTGGCTTATTCTCCGGTAGTTTTATTGTCCTATCTGTTGCAGTTGTTCTCTCAGGTATTGTTGTAATGCTTATCTATTCACAGTTACGTGTATTTGCAATTGTGCTGTTCACAACGTGTAGAATGTTGCAAGATTTTAAATATAATTAACTTGAGTAAAAATGGTTTATTAACAAAATTTTAATCTGCGCACTCTTAGTTTGTTAGCACTTTAATTTGTTGAAGTATCGAAAATCCTTGTTTATATTACTTGTGCTATTTAAAATCTCGTTACTTTCAGCCGTTTTCCACGATAGCGGAGAGAATCTAAAGATCGCATTTAGACTATACCGAGGTCCTTTTCTTATTATCGAGTTCTTATTCCTTATCGGAATTAACGTTTATGGATGGAGATCTTCCGGCGTCAATCACGTTTTAATATTTGAACTTGACCCACGAAATCATCTTTCGGAGCAACATCTTATGGAATTGGCCGCAGTCCTCGGAGTAGTCTGGACGCTTAGCTTACTAAGTTTCTTATACAGTGCCAGTCTAAGCATTCCGCCATACGTGAATCCATTAGTACTTGTCTGTATCATGTTGATTTTTCTATTAAATCCAGTTAAAATGTTTCGCCACGAAGCTCGTTTCTGGCTGCTAAAGATCATAGTAAGTATAATTTGTGCAATATTTCACTTGTGCAGAATTTCATATGAATAAAAAATTGACTATAGTCCTTTGTCTTATTTTAGGGACGCGTTTTAATATCACCATTCGCGTATGTTAATTTTGCTGATTTCTGGTTGGCAGACCAGTTCAATAGTTTGGCGACTGCATTCTTGGATTTTCATTTTTTGATATGCTTCTACATTACAAATGGCGATTGGTTGAAGGCGAGCGATACTACGCAATGCATGTCCGGCTCTCTCATCATTAGACCTATTGTAAATTGCTTACCGGCATGGTTTCGCTTCGCGCAGTGCGTTCGCAGGTATCGAGATTCTAAAGAGGCGTTTCCACATTTAATGAATGCTGGAAAGTATTCCACGACGTTTCTCGTTGTTGCAGCCAACACTTTATACGCTTATCACGGAGGTAGATGGAATTAAAAATGTTCTTTTTTTTTTATAATTCAAGGTTTTAATATCTCAAAAATAATCAAGAAGTAATACGCTTTTTCAGCGGAATATAATAATAAATGGGAGAATCCATGGTTGTGGCTATGGGTGTGTAGCTGCCTTATTAATTCGATATATTCATATACATGGGATCTCAAGATGGATTGGGGCCTTTTAGATAATAATGCTGGTGAAAATCGTTTTCTACGAGAGGAAGTAGTTTACTCGACAGCCGTAAGTAGAGTAACATTGTTTATTTGCAAAAAGAGATATTATATATTATACATGTTTTTTAGTGGTTTTATTATTTCGCAATAATAGAAGATTTTATACTACGATTTATATGGATTGCGAGTTTTATTCTCATTGAGTGCGGATATATTTCTGGAGACTTAATGACTTCTATAATAGCACCTCTCGAGGTTTTTAGGTGAGTACGCTTTTCGGCCAGTGTTCGAGTTTATTTGAAAATTTACTTCTACTTTCTGTCTCATTGCAAAATTGTTTTAGGCGATTTGTGTGGAACTTTTTCCGTTTAGAGAACGAACATTTGAATAACTGCGGTAGATTCCGCGCCGTACGTGATATCTCGATAGCACCTATAGAAAGCTCTGACCAAACACAAATTTTACGTATGATGGATGATGAGAATGGTGTACTTAATAGAGGCAAACGTAAAAGCGGCGGTAAAAAGCAGAACAACGCAAAAGAAGAAAAACGAGCACTGCTTAAGGAAGAAACTGTAGATATATCAAATGCCAATTGAATATATAGTTCAAGATTTTTGTACAATATTATCTTTAATTTTCTCCAGTATGGATGGAAAGCCTCCAAAGTCTGGTAGTTAGAGAAAATAATTCGCAAGATTAAAATACATCTTGAAAATTAACTTGGTTATAATTTTAAAACATATAAAAAGAAGAGCACAAAAAACCACAGCACAAGTTATAGTTTGTGATATTTAATTATTATTACATTAATTAAAACATTAAACGTTTCAGCTACAATCTGGCCATCTTCAGTAATTCAATAATATTCTTAAAACGCAGAGTTACATCTAGTTGACATTAAATTTAACAGTCGGGTGTTGTAATTAATAAATAAACGTGTTCTTTTCTATGTGAAGATGCTTCATACAATAATGTTACAACGCCAATTGTCATATCACGAAAAGTGTAGAACAAGAATTTTCAGATTCTGTTTTACAACAAAAAAAAACTAAACGATGAATGTCAAGTACTTCTTTTGCACAATTCGAATTTTGTCGTGACATTATGTATTGTTATTTGTCCCATTGGACAAATAACAACACATAATGTGTTTTAACACACAAGTTATCAAGAATAAATTCTTAATTTCACTGTTAAAGAGATTACGAGGCAGGATTAATTTTTGGAATTTTGTATGCGACATCCTATATATATAACGTGCTAAATTATATTTTTTAACATTTGTATTCTCTTGATTGTGCTGATGATAATCACAATTTGACCGAAACATGTAATTTTATTATAAATATATGACTTGTGCGAATAATAACTTGCATATATGGCCGTATATTCTTTCTTATTTTTGTTTTAGAATATATATAATTATTATTTTAGAGAATATGTATAATTATCTTATCTAAAAATTTTAATTCTAAATTAGATAAAAGGAGAGTTACTTAAAAATTACTTGAAAATTTTATACAAATTTATTTTTGATAAGATTTTTTTAGAGAATATTTATAAATAAAATTTAAACAAGTTGTTAGAAGTGGCTCGACATAAACAAAAACAAAAATAGGAAAGAGCATACAGTCACCAGAAAAATGTTTATCTTTCTCTTCTTAAGAAGGATCTCTCTTTTTTTTAATAAATTCTAGAACTTTCTAAACTGTTGACTCATATATGTATATAAATACATGATAAAATACATGATATGACAAATAACAACACATAATGTCACGACAAAATTCGAATTGTGCAAAAGAGGTACTTGAGATTTATTGTTTAGTTTTTTTGCTGTAAAACATATAACGATTCTATTTCTTTATATTCCGACTAGAAGATATTAATGATATACAAATTTATTTAAATTAGAATCTGGAAATTCTTGTTCTACACTTTTCGATATGACAATTGGCGTTGTAACATTATTGTATGAAGCATCTTCACATAGAAAAGAACACGTTTATTTAATTACAACATCCGACTCTTGAATTTAATGTCAACTAGATGTAACTCTGCGTTTTAAGAATATTATTGAATTACTGAAGATGGCCAGATTGTGGCCGAAACGTTTAATGTTTTAATTAATCTAATAATGATTAAATCACAAACTATAACTTGTGCTGTGGTTTTTTTATGCTCTTCTTTTTATATGTTTTAATTCGCAAGATTTTGTAAACGATACATATCGATTTTGCTGAAAGATAAATAATTATCATATGCTTTAGAATCAGTAGATGATTAGAAAAGTAAAATTATCATAGTATGTATCATAGTGCCTTTCGCGCCTTCTTTCATATGAGATACTTTACGATAAATTATAATAATCCTACAAATAGCCTGCACTGAGTCTTCCACAAGAACGAACAATATAGCTTAAATAAAAAATAACTTCACGAATTTTATAGCTTTTAGACACAGGCACATAGAAAGATGTAACATGTAAATATGAAGCGTGTGCTTTTGCATACGAGCTTTACAAATTGTTGATGAGTAATGTCATGTTTTGCCTGCCATTTTTAGATGCTATTATATACTGTGATTTTATTTGCTGTATTGTTATCAACATTTTTTCTAAGAACGCCATTTTTTAATAATAGATAATCGATAGGTAAATATCTTTAAAATGAAAGTAGAAAGAAAAAGGAAGTATTGATATAAAATAGTCTGATGTTACTACGCTCATAACAGAAGTGATATTAAACATGTATTAATACTAGGAAGACTGTTATAATGTGCTTTTTTATACATAATTACTGTACTTATATCATATATGTAATTATGTTGGCCTAAATATTGTATGTAGTTATATCAATTATTTTCTAGTAGTAAAAAAAGTAGAATATCAAATTTGCAAATTCGATGTTTAATTTACTCTGCATCATTTGGAGTAGTGTTTTGTATATGAAGTAGTATTGAAATTATCCGACTGTTTCATATTGTAATATTCTATACATTATATTAATTTTACAGAAATAATACAAATATATTTTCTTCCGTTATAAGTATTATTTAATGTTTTCGATATTATTGTCACATATACTTAAAGAAACATCTGCTCAATAAGATGATAAAAATTATATTTCATTTATTATTTCAAATTATATTGCACTCGTACTTTATCTGTTACTAATTATTTACACAAGTGTATCACAAAGTAAGTTAATAATAAATTGATTGCACACATACATAAAGTAGCACATTGTGAAATCTAAGATAAAGTAATTTTAATGCATTGAACAAAACTAAACAAAATTTAACATTTAACAAAACTAAAAAAATATTTTAAAAGTATACTTGACACATATTACTTTAACAAAGCAGTGCTTATATTTGTGAAATATATTTTGATTGCATATATTTATTTGCTATAGTAATTATTAAAATAGATAGTAATTCAAATTATATTTTTTAAATTAAAATTTTTCTGTTGAAATGGAAAATTTTTATTTTTATGCATTTATATATTTTATATATTTATAAGTATAATTGTTTTTATATTAAGTTATATATTTATTTCATTTATTTATATAATTATAATTATATAGATGACATAGTGCCAATGCATTTAGAAATATGAATTTTACATATTAGAAAGTTTGTATTCCAATAAATTTGACGATTTTATATAAATCTTTTCCTGCATAAATAATCAGAATCACAGTTGCTCGGAATATAAATGTTAAGTATTTTTATATTCTATATATACAGTAAAATTTCTGATATTATAATGCTTAAAGTATCTACTAAAGTGTATAAGCATTACTGTGTGATAATTTCTTAAGTCAGACTATGTATGTACATAATTTCGAATATTGTAATACACTGATTGTACTTCATATTATAATAAAGTGTTCATATATAAGTAAAAAGGAGAAAAGGCTACGAGCCTAAAAACAATCAACATAAAATGACAAATTGTATAAATAGAAAATAAAATAAAACATGTCATGAAATTAAAAACGTAAATTATAATTTGACAATCAGAAGGTGAACAAAACAAACGTTTCGATCCTTGTTGGATCATTTTCAATGTGACAAATAAATTAATAATAGAAATGTAACGTAGATAAAACATAAGAAATTAAAAATTCGCATTCGGACGCAATATTAACTATAAAACTCGCTCCAAATTGAGAGGAAATCAAACAAACGATTATAGTTGACACAAATGTGTTCTTCCGAACCGTATAAGGATGTGTATAAGGATGAACATGTTTCTGTTAGCAAGTATAAATTATAATAATAAATTAACGAAGGAAATAAATAAAAATAATAAGAAAAGTACAAAACAAGTCGCAAGTAAATAATAAGTCAAAATTAAAAGAAAGAGGCAAAAATTATCTTTGATATTATAAGATAAGCACATAAGAAATAATAATGATGATAGAAAAAGAGTAAAATGCCGACATTCATTGTATATGTATAATATAGTTTAGAACAAATAAATTTATAATAAATACCTTATGTGTGTCAAAATGATGTGTCGATTAGGCAATGCGATGGGAATCGAAATTGAATCTAGGAAGCTAAGAGATAAAGTATGACATATAAAGACAGGAAGGTTGAAATGGAAAACTAAAAAGGAAGGGGAACATAAGAAGGAGAAAATAAAGTAGAAGGGAGAAAAAATAGGGAGAGAAGAGATGGATAGGAAAGAGAAAGCAGTTAAGAGGGAGAAAGAGATTGGATGATCTGTAATATATATATACATATATATATGTTATACTCTATTCACAGAAGTAACACAAGTTTAACAAACAAGAAAAATAATATTCCAACAATTATCTTACATTCTTTTAATTTTCATGTTTAGATTCGTAGATCTTGTGCCGTAGGATAGCAAACAAGCCTAGCTTCAGTAGAGCAAATAGTATTTACGACAATGTTACGTAATAAGATAACGTATAATAACGGTAACAATTGCTTCCTTTTCTTTGTTCTTCCATTCTCCGAGAACGACGGATCGTTGAAACAGCTGCTTCGCGAATTTTCATACTAACTTATATTGTTTATTTTATATGCAATCAGCTGTTAAATATAAAAAACTGGTATCGTATTTTTAAATATGTAATTTATATCTATTTATGTCTCTAATTGTTTAATATCACTTTATTCATCTATAAATACACAAATTTATTATTATTTATTAAAAATTATAAATGGAATTTACAACTACGCCATTACATATTAATGAATTAAATTTAATATGTATTATAAATTGCATTTAAAAATCATCATAACATTACATGTTACATAGAATTTTTGATTCATTGACATAAATTCATTCATTAAGAATTGTCGTTTCACTGAGAGACAACATGAATAAAAAGATATAATTAAAACCAGTCGAAGGAAATATTAGAAGATTAAAATTCATATTAATTGTATGTCTTAATCGACAATTTTAATAAAATGATTCTTATCGTTACATAATATTACGTGTCGGGCACAATGACACACATAATATATATTATTAACTATAGTAATAATTTGATGATGTAACAATTAATGATTGTAATGATGATCAACGTGTCATCATAATGTACGATAACAATCGAACGCAATAGCAATATAATAAGGAAATGAACATATAATAAAATATACTGTATGTACAATTTGTCGAGCGCATCGACAACAATCGGCGCACGATTCCTTCTCTATCGATTAAAACAACAAACTTACATTAGCAGATACGCTGGATCCCCTTAGCTTATCTAAGGATATATGTATAACAACCGCGTTCATGCGTGTCCAAAAAGTGATAGATATCCCAAGTAGCACAGCACTTACAAAGCGTTTAAAAGTGTTAAAAAAGCGCATAAACGCTTTTTTAACGCTTTGCAAGCGCTGCTGTGCTACTTGGGATTCAAACAATGAATCCATCCTTTTCTCTGTGTCACTCCTCCATACGTTCCTCCGTACTTAAAACAAAATAAGTATATGCTCACGTGTTTCGAGGAGACATAAGAGAACAATGGAGTGAGTTTAAAAAAGAACGGATTTAATGGTCTTGAACGGTAGAGAAAGAAAAGGAGTATAGTAACAATATATCTGGGATTGCACTCCTTCGACGCGTATGAACGTAGTTAAATAAAAATAACAGAAAACAAAATGTTCAAAAAACTTGCTCGATATGTGAAGCGATGTCTAATTGCTCTTTCTTGTTCGCACAATTATGTGCTAGCGATTAATACTAATTGTATATTTACAAATCTCAAATAAGAGCAAAAAGAACGTGAAACCGGAATGGTCCCAATGATTGGTCCGAACCGATGAAATCTTTTCTCTCCACAAATCTTCTAAACAAATAATATGTATATATTTATATATATCTCTTCCTCTAAATATATTTCTCACAATCAATAAAATCTAGGAAGTCTAATCTCGCAGGCTTAAAAAAAAATATATATATATATATATGTTAGATCGTGGTCCCCATTAAACCATGTCTTCTTCTTAAGTCGAGGTGCAAGTTCTGTGATTCGTGAGTCCCTTTAAAGTTCAGCGAAATAAAAACTGTTCCTTCGAGAATTACACAAATACTCCTTTACTGCCCTTTTTGGATCTTTGATTTCTCCATCATTCACTCATTTATTTTATGTTTTGTGTGCCGTAAAATAAACTATTTATTTAACTGCAATATTAATATGTATGTAGCAATCGGATGAATCGGACTAGAGGACAAATCAGATTTTGAATCGGGAATTTCTCTTCGATAAAAATTTGCTTATACTTTCGTTGATTTCGGTGATTCGAATCCCACTAATCCGTTCATCTACTGTTGCTACACCACGAACTACTCAAGTTACTTAAATCTATAATCTTCGCGATAAAATAAAGAAGGGAATAAGATACAGCAGTTAAAAACGATACAGGAAACATTCATTCTTGATGTGACTACAAAACCATCCTATGTATAGTAAACGCACATATAACGTATGAATGTGTCATCGATACATATGATAGAACGTATTATTTCTTGAAACAAATTTATTCAAAGCTTGCATGTCTTTAAAGAAGCTTTTTTTTCCTGAAAACCTACAATATATTCTCTAAATTAAATTTTTAAAAAAGCACAAGAAACGTTCACTTCGTCAATTCTAAAATGTGATAAGTAAGATGTCGTTTCTTACGAGCACAATAGAAAAATACATAATATATGAAAAAAAAAGACAGGAGATTCTTAATGTGACCGGTCGTTGTTTCATCTCGCGCAATTAATATCGATCTTCTCGTCGCTGATTGCATTTATTCCATCTTCTAGAACATTATGGCGAGCGTGATAGGAATTCACGACAGAGAAAAGGAGAGACATAACGTAGTGCGGAATTAAAAGTGGAATTAAAAGCACGACTCCCGTCGAGGAGCGTGATACTTTCCGCGGCGCCAAGACGACGAGGCGAGAGAAGGAGGAGGAGAGAAAAAGCGAGAAAAGGTGAAGAAACGACAAGGCGCGTAAAATCCAATTGACAAAAAAGAACAAAACGAGCAGCCGTTACGCGGCGCGTTCCGTCGTCATTACGGGGCTCTCCTTGCAAGACGGCGGCGCCAATCGGGCAGAAAATTGCGATACCGCACCGGCGGGACGAGTTCTCGCCGCATCGGTACGGAAAACGAACAGAAGAACCTGGACGAATAATAAAATGGAAACGAGACGCGGCTCTCGTTTGAGAGAACTTGCCGGCTGTGTCGATCGGACGGATTGGTACCGCAAGTATATATAAATAGACAGTGGGTACCACTGTGGCTTGAATCTCCTGTCCGAGGGACAGGATTCCCGCGAGTTTCCTGTCCCCGGTTTCATGCCCATCCCGTTCTGGTCACCGCAGAAAAAAAGTAGTCAGCTCACTCACGATCGTTTGTGGAAATGCGGAGTCGCGAGCCCGGTTTATCTCACAGATCCGAGAGCACGTGGAGCAAATACTTGATAGAGCCGCACAAGACCGATAAATGTCAGATAAGAGCAGCGAACGCGCAATTAATCCACTAGGCCGTGTCGTAATTATCGAAAATGGGCCAAGCCTGAGATATTTGATTTTACATACGATGTTTTTAGTAATAAAACAATCTTTGTATTGTTTTATAAAAGCTTTGTGAGACATTTTAAATAAATAAACAAGGATAAACTTTTTTTAGACAGAAATGGCACGTTATGCTTTTTTTATTCTTTATGGTTTAAATTAATTCCAATAGATATTTAAGTGCAAAATTTTTGGTAATTTCTAGCAACAGAGATAGTCGTTCTATCAACACGACGACTCGCAAGAATAGATCTCGTCAGGACTGCGTCCGTATCCTAAGCTTACATCGTAGACTCTTGAGTTACCGTGTATAGATTGCGACAGGACGGAATAATGCATCCAAGCGGTTTACAGTGTTTACAGTAACTTGATATGTTTCTTGCGCTTTTACCGCCCGTCTAACGTAAAGCGACACGCGATAAGATTCCCGCAGAAAATAGGTCATACCGATAGAAAATCGACTGAGTTCCATTCTTCGAAATTTTCAATCGCCGTGATGTGACTCAATGAACATGAAATAAGAAGAAACTTGTTTTTCATAATAAAAAATCTTTAAATTTTATTTAATTGAAATAAGTTTCCTCTTATACATAAAATAAAAAAGTTAGGACAGGATAGAAGAATGTTTATGTATAAGCAAATCACGAAAATTTGAAAATTAGGAAAATTTGAAACTTAGTTCCATAAAGAATGAATCTCTATCTATTCCTTCTGTATAACTCGCTTATTCTTGGCAGGAAAAATACTGTTTTCATATATAGACCCACACTGATATCTCACGTGCTTCTCTCGCAAGAAAAAATATGCGAGGAACTCCGACTACTAACGTGACTGATAACAACATTCCTCGATTAAGAATACCAGATTATTTCATAGTGACGATTGTCTTTTTTTTGTCTTTAAACGATAGAGTATTATAAATTCCAAGGAAAACACTATTATCATTGATTAAATATGATCAATTGTCGTCAAAATTCGTGTCAACATATTTTAATTATAAATTACATATGTGTCTCATATGCATTTTTATTTACGAAATATATTTTTATGTCGTAATATTGATAAAATCATAATTTTTACAAATTTTATATATATATATATATATTATATATATATATATATATAAAACCAACAAAATGTTTTATAATGAAAAAAAAATTCATTATAAAATCTATTTTGTAGTTGACAAAATTATAATCTTTACTATAATTAATAAAATGTTTTAAAATGCAAAAATTCATATCAATTTATAAAAAAAGCCATTGACGAAATCGACGTTAAAATGAATTTTTTCATAGTAACATTATAAATATCGAATAAATTTAAGAGCTTAATGAGATAGTAAATTTTTCCTCTTACTTAACAAGCTCGAAATTGAAGAAAATACATAAAACATTTAATGTTTCTTCTAAAATATAATAATTCTTCAAATTTAAAGAAGCAAAAATGCGTTTCTATTCTTCTCCTCCAATACATGATGACAACGATTGTTGAGGCATTGCCATTCGGCATGCAATAAATATGTGATATAAACTGAATAATTCTAGGAATCGCCACATTTTTAAATACGCGTCTTGCATAAGAACTACGCGCAATAAAATGCACTTTTTACCTCTGTGCCGCGCGTTATTTTCGTGACCGCTTCACGAACGCGATGATGAGGTCTCATATTAAGAACGCGGATCGAAGATCGGAGTGATTCCTCATCATGGCGTTGATTCGATAGTTTTGAGTAACAGGCGGAAGTTCCACGTTTCCAGAGGACGAGAGCGAATTTTACATCGCCATGCATTCCTTAGCACCACCAAATATTGACAAGTGTATTACTTATCTATCATCGACTCATTCTGGTCCCGCTGAGAAAGGTGGAAGCCAGATTTCAGCCTGGAGAGACGCACTACGCTCGGCATTACCTTGAAGAGAAGCATCCGCAAGATGGAGTCGACGCCCGGCATCTCCATTTCGTCGTGGAAGTTATAGACCACCGTTTCATTAAGGTTGAAACCGTGCTTCAACTTTGATCTCCTTGTGACCAAACGCGGATTCCACATTCCGGATTTACCGCCGAAGAACACGCTTTCCTCGCCCGCATCGTCGACGGGGAAGAGTGCCGCGACTGCTCATTGATCTCAGCAGCTCATTAATCTCTATCTCAAGATGAGAGAGATTGATAAGCTAGAACGAGGGAATGACAGGCGGAAGATATTAGAGGAAAAGGTATTCACGAAATGGGTCGATCGGATCTTCCGGCCGTCGTCTCGATTTCCCCGTCGACGAGCTGAGAAAGCGGTGCGAGGACTTTTAAGGAGGGACGATGTTAATCGTCGACGTTAATCGTCGCTCACAGATGTGTGATGATGATCTCGTCGTCAAGATCATCTTTTTCGTCATCGGTTTCTTCCGGATGATTCGCCTCGGCAGCTGCTTGGGCAGCTTTCGGATCCTCGGCGATCGCTTTGAGCCGCCGTTGTTTGCGTCTGTGCAACAACTCGACGATAATGTAGCCTATGGTACCAATGATCAGCACCGTCAGCATCACATACAGCTTCATACGGGCGCAGAGATGTGTGCTATACGCGTAGGCGATCACGAAGCCGGCACTCTCCCACAGCCTGTAGTTCGAAAAGGCTGCCTCCTTGTTACGCCTAAATAACGTACCGTAAAGTCCTGTAACAGTCGGTGTAATAAGTAATCGTCGCGGTAATTTGGATAGTAAGGAAAACTTCAAAATAATTTAGCATCTAAAAAATTTATCCACAAAATTTTCACGATTAAAAGTATTAATATATTAGAGGTGACAATTTTTTTATCCGGTTACATTAACGATCGTTCAAGACAAAATATAAAAATAAAAATATATTCTATCTTTCTCTCTTCTTCTATCATTATCTCTCTTTCTTTCTTCTTCTATTCATTAGGAAATTCCTGATTTGCACACTTAACTGAAACAATAAACGACTTAAATGTTTTATTTGTCTCATTTGTTGCGGATTAACTTTGCAAGTGCTTTTATCGGATCCATGACTATACAAATAGGTACATCCAGGTACTACATTATGCACCGAGGTCGATCGTTTTGCGTTCATCGTCGCGTTTGACGGCAAGATAACGAGCCTACAGATAGATCGAATCCTTGACTCGGCGCTCTTTAGATGCGCTTTCAGAAAGCACGTAACAGCAATAATGATAGTGCTGTCGGTGATGCACGAGATGCCGCATTAAGGAAATAAATCAAATGGAAGTGGGAAATCCGTGGGAAAGAATATATGAGAATATACATTCGAGTTTGTTATTCTGATGATAGTCTTAATCACTAAAAAAGTTTGTATTTCAATTAAAAAGAATATACTAAAATTTATAATTGAATTTTTCATCTGATTTTCAAAATTGCACAATAAAAACTTATTTTAACATAAAAAGCTTCAAAATTCATCGAAGAAAATTTTCGCTATATATATGGTTGTTGTAATTTTTGAAATTTTTCTATGACACTTTTCAGAAGATATGACTATTCTTAACTAATAATTAACGTTGCTCATTATTATTTAGCACGTTAAATTAGAAATTCTCATGGTGCGCACAATTAACTGACAATTAACAAAACCGGATATAAAGCAAATGCAGTTATCTACATTGTGTGTTTTTGTATACATATAGTTAAATATTATAGATTTGCATATCAGTTTCTGCAAAATCTCGTGACGTGACTCAGAGTGCGGCGGAGAATGAATAATCCTGCAAAAAAGCTGCCAAGGCAAAAAAAAACCAATACGAGATTCGCTTTCCAGACGTGTAGATCTGTGCAGAAACTCTAATTATACAAAGACAAATCCTAATGTGTACAAACAATGCGAAATTGCTGTGTGATCGATTATTTACTATACACACGAACCGCGGCTTAAAAAGCAAGCGAAAATTGAATCAAAATTATTAAAGTATCGCTCAAATTTTGTTCAACTCAGGAAAAAGAAAACACAATTTATCTAATAAGCATAAAAAAAATTTATATTTTTTTATGAAAATATCTTTTTTTGTTAACTACAACGTGATGATGTCGATACATACAATGAATATGGAATATGAAACGAAATGTCCTTGAATGTGAATCAAATCTTGGAACTAAGTACGAGAGATAAGTATTGAATTTTTAATACATTATCTCTGAATTTTTAATATATTTCTTTATATTGTTTTTATGATTAACGAAGAGGCCGGTATAATCGTTTTCTTCTGATGCCATAATAAGCCCCGATATTTACTCAATTTAATGTGAGCAAATTTTTTTGCGAGAGGCAAAGAGAACGTTTCTATTTTTATAGCGAGTACAAAAACGTTGACGATATTTCTTATTTAAAAAAAAATTTAACATGTAGTCATTGTGTAGAATGTTTTTATGCACACTGAAATGTTTTACCTCGTTACGAAACTGAGACTTAAAATCATGATTATTTTCTTCAAATGGCTCCTCAAGACGTTCGTCTTGAAAAACACTCTCATTAATTATACATATTTATTAATTTGATCAATTATACGACGCTGACATATGTAAATTATAAAGAAAATTATAAACGATCCGACAAATAATATAATTATAGAAGCAATTTAACCACTCATTAATTCGCAATTTATTATACTTCCTTTTGGCACGCTTAATTTTTTTACAGATTATGTCATTAAACTTTCTATCTACCGTCTTATCAATGGTAAGCAATCATTAAAAGGAAAACACTTTTTACGAATGACATTCGCTTGGAAAATCAACATTTACTTACATAATGCAAAATATCAAAGCCAAGCTTTATAAATTCTGCACTGAGGAAAATTCCTGGTTAAAAATGGACGAATTAGAAGATTCGGATCATATCAATTAGACTTCTAGTCAAGATAACCAAATGTCTAATTATGATGACTGAAATTCTAATTGATGTGATCAGAATTTTCTAGTTCATCCATTTTTAAACAAAAATTTTTCTTAGTTGTGTCAACTCAATAGCGAAGAAATTCGCATATTCTCTCTCTTTCTGGATTAAGTCGAGCAGTGACTCTTTCAGGCCTCAGCGTTAATATTGATGAGAAGCAATTTATCTTCAAATACCACTTATCGTGAATACATTAAAGACGTTCTTCAAGTGTTTGTCTGATCTATTAATACTCGTATTGACTGTGAATAAACAAATACGAAATGTAGCTGGTAAATTTCGATGACGGAACCGTTGGATTACGATTAAAATTCATGGATCCGGTTTTTTAGAAAATCTATTAAATAGACCTATACACTTCCAAGACAACTCGCTATCTTCAATCCGTATAGTATTGAATATTTCTTTTTTTTAGTTTTTCCAATACGATATAAATTTGCTTCATTACGTTTGATTGTATGAACGATAGAGCGCCACACAAATTATGGATTTCGATATTAAATACCAAATAATCTTTTTTGTTTTTGTAATGTGTCATTCGATTCAGAACGTTCGATTTTGCCAGCTATAATGTCCGACATATAATATTTCTAACTTTATTAATATTTTTAAAAATGTTTAATTGTTTTAATTAAAATAGCTGTTATAAAATTAGCATATCAAAAGTCCCGACAGTTTTGTAAAATTGTTCCAATCAGCATAGATATCTTTTCTCACGTAAAAGATTTTTTTTAAGTAATTTTTTCTCGTAATATTTTAGCTAACATTAACATGTAGTTTTACACTCACCGTTAACCTGCGTCTGCCACACGGCATCGCCCACACCCCACAGTCCTGAGACCGAAAAAAAGACATAAGGATTGTCAGGGTGAGGCTTCCACATGAGAAGAACAACTACCAGAGAAGCATGAACGATGGCGCCCAATGCCATCAGTGGCTGTCTGCCAACAAATTTCATTAATGAACCGAATAGCAAGGAACAGCCGGCGTTAACCACCCCAAAGCAGATCATGACGTAGCCGACTCTGTGGACGCCCAGAGCGCAGGAGATGTACGCCTGGAAAGCACAAAAGAATTCAATTTAATGTCTTTATTTTTTTAAATCAAAGGTTGTCTTCTGAGTTCGAATGTTGCAAAGATTTCTGATATATCAGATAGATAATTGGAAAACATATGTATATTATTAGAAATTTAAGAAATTGTATGAAAATGATTAAGGTCTCTCATCAAATGATAATGATAATGGTATTAATTTTTTGTTACTTTACAATATCCTATCACCTAAAACTATAAAGACAATAAGAAAGCGACAATAAAAGAAATTGATCAACATCTCTTACAGAAAGCAAAGATTTAATGATTTGCAATAAATTATGATTTTGAAATTTCTTTGTCTTTCTTTCTGATATAAAAATCTTTAATATAAATACATAACGCTATATACATTTCAAATTTGTATATAATTGCAATATCTGTGAGATTTAATTGGGCTCTTTCATTTCTGTTGCTTTCATACATGCTTTCATACACTGACAGGATTTATATATGTTAATTTGATTTTCAAAACACGATTCTTAATTGGTTTGAATAATTATTAAGAGTTTTACAAGCAAAAGAATATTAAATTTTTTTTTCTATGCTGAATCAATGAGTTTGTTCTGAAGGAAGTTGATGTGCCTTTGTGTACATTTATAAAGCAATTATAATCCCATCAATTATTGTTGACATAATGAGACGACAGACTGAGATTTAGACTCTGAACTTTTTTACTTATGGAACTTATGGACTTTTTTAGTATCTTTATTTCCATCTAAATTCATTATAATGACGTAAGATCTTGAGAACATATTATCGATACGCAGACACGCATGTCCTTGAATCCTTCATTATAAGGATTCTATTCATTTTTTTCTATATGTTATTATATTCTTTTTTTATTCTTTTTACTATTACACAATATTTTTAGGACTATTTAATCGTAGCCAATTATTTTCATTTAAAACAAGAATAATAATCAAAATATTATATTAAAAACAAAATATATTTTGAAATTAGAAAAAAATTTGGCGTTATGTGATGAGCGAGATAACATTTGGAACTGCATAGAGCATGACTAAAAGAAAAATAATAACTTTAAAAAGAATTGTTATTAAACATTGATATGTCATTAATCATAAAGCGGATGACATTTAATTTTGAGCTACATAAGGTATTCAATTGCCAACTTTAAATGCACGACGTCAAACATTTCATAAAATGTTTTATGAGCACGCTACATACGTTAATCAATATTGATTAACTATCAATATATCAAGTGTTCATTCGACAACATAAAATGTAACACAAGATTTTCAAGTTGATAGACAGAGATTATATATTTTCAAAAGTTATGTTCAAAGTAGCCATAAAAATATCTATGCGCAATTATCTTTCGCAATATGCGAACATCATACCTTCTCGTCGCCTTAAGTTATCAAATATACTAATCTTAAACGAAATACTTCTTCAATTACTTACATATCTGTAACATTATCTCGACAGAAGGTGCATTATATATAAAGCGCATTTATCGCGTGATCATTTCATGCCGATCGTTAACGCATAAATACCCACTTAAACGCAAGACGCCCTTCGTAATATCAGAGCCAGAATTTTTACGGCAGGGTCGCAGCCACGCCGAAGGACATTTAATTACGTCTTACGTCTTACAATAAGTAGCGATTCAACGTTTAATCAGACACGCCGTCGTTTTAGACGTCACGGTCATACTATATTATTACATAAAATAACATATCTTTAATTCTTCCTGTAATAATTAATATATGAATTGTATAATCTCAGGTACACATTTTAAAGAACGAAGTGATTTATTTGTAATATCGCGCGTAATATCTGCTGTAATCTTTTATACTGTGTATACGAAAATTCAGCTTTTACATTTGTAATAACATTTTCGATGTATGAACTTCACACAGAATATAATTACGTTGATAGCTTGATCTTTTTTCAAATCAATAAAATTTGTATTCGAGCATTTCCTTTTCCATACGTAATGTCATATTATATCATTCGTGGCTCTCAAGGTGAACAACTATCTCATTAAAACAGTTTGATAAGTAAATTTCTGAAACATTAAAAAAAAAGTTTAGTAAAAAAACGTGAGATTAATAAACAAATTTCTGTTCTGACAGTAATAAATTTACAATCAAGATAGGCAAATCATTTCTTCTAAAAATTTAAATATAATGTTTTTGTTGCTTACATGGACCACATAAAATTCTGAAACTTTTTAACAATGTTTTAAAAGAATTTGTACTGGAAGGCTCAGGAGAGCATTTATACATTTAAAAATAAAATGTTAATTTTAATATTTTTGCATATTTCAGAAAGTTCACTATACGTCTTTAAGTTAAAATTAACATTTTTTTTAATAAAAATAATATTTTTATTTTTAGCAGCGTGCATTTAATTAACTTTTCGCGTTAAATCGTGATTAACAGTTCTTATAAGTCGAGTGTAGAATTTCATTGAACTCGAAATATATCATTGCATTCTTTTAATATTTTTACGCAATTCTCCACTGTGAATGATATCCGTGAACGTTTGAATGGGATTATGTGTCTCGAGGCGTTCACGAGATCAGACCGGAGGGAACGGTGACTACGACACGTGCACACATACGTGTGGTCATACTTTAAGAGATACTGGTACACGAGATTCCAGATATGGAAGCGGTATCGCCGGATCGGCGCGAGAATAAGCTCACAGGGCTATTTATAACAGGTCCAGCGCCACAGCTGACTCAGCAGAGCCTGTAACTATCACGTTTTGCTCATTTTTTTTCTTTTTCTCTCTTTCATTTTCTCGGCGCGGATTTAATTGCCCAATTATCCGGCTTCCCGAGTCGAAGACGTCGTACGACCTATCGGCGAACCAATTTCGAACGAGTCGCAACTCGCGAACCGGAGGTTGTTTTTGCCATAATGCAGGGTCGTTCAATAATGAGGGGGTTCACCCGATGCGCGACCTTCCTCGATTAATTCCAGTTCCTTACGAGACTAAGTTCTTTTCGTAATTTTCATGTAGATTGATATTAAGCAATATCTGACAGTTCTGCAGAATATATCTAACTCCTCAACAAAACCTACTTTTACATGGAAGTAATTTGTAAAAAGTAATGTAAAGAAAATACGACATATTCTTATGTATTTTATTTTGGAAAAAACAAAACTATCCAATAACCTGAAGTGGTTTTACATTGTCTTGAATATTATTTTTCAAGTATTATAACATTTCAGATCTTTACGTAGATAGAAAATATACTGGAAAATAAATACTAAATTTTAATAAATATTTGTTTGAATACTTCTAAGCAAATATTTACTGAATGTAAACATATATTTATTTAATACAAAAATCATTACAATTTCATTTAACTATTACTTTTGTATTGAGTAAATATTTATTTACTGTAAGTTTACATTTAATTGTTACCATTTGAAAATATACATATTAAGACTCAATAAATCTTTTTTTCAATGTATCAAATATTTTTGATTGATCATTATAAAAACAAGCAATTCCAAGAAAATGGCTGAAACTCGGCAATCCGGAGACAAGAAAAGACTGATCCGTTAAAACTGTAGTAGCTTAATCATAATCGTATTGCAAAAAATCAACTAACTCGATGGCGGCTACTCGATGCTGCTTCGAGGTGTGTTTTTGCTGACAGTCACGGGATGCCGTATTTGTAACGTCCAAGAGAAGGTAAAGATACGGGATATCGTTGGGCGGGTCGATTACTGGATAGACAGCATATAAATTACGCAAATCCATCTTTCCAATAGGGAGTGATTAATTTGAACGCGGCCAGTGATTACAGCCGTATCTCTTCTTTCTTTCATTTCGTATATCCGAGAACTTCTTAGAGAGACTTTTAATTATATTCCCTATACTATACGTGAACAAGTATCGCACTACATTCTGCATTCAAATACTTTTTGGTTTAATGATGCTTTTGCTCGCATGTCAAACGTATATCACATTAAAAACGTCTACTGTAAATGTTTCTTTCTTATACATCTATTTTTTTTTCGTTGAAAATTTATTTCTCTTCTCTTCTTATCGCTTTCATGGCGAACGTATATTTTAATTGAGATATATTTACTTTCTAAATCAATCTCGTATAATTATCACGTGATACATTTAATCATTTTTCTCTTTTACAATGTTCTAATTCATCTTCATTATTAATAATTCATAGTTAATTTTCATAGTTAATTTTTAGTTAATTACATCTTGACGTATTTGATTTCAGTACTTCTATTTCTTCTTAAAAAATATTTAAAAAATAACTTTATCGTATTCTAGATTCCTTTCTTTTCAAACTCGGGGATTTTAATGCTCGCACAACGAGATGTGCAATGTTTTATCCTGGTACATTTTAACCTTTTTCCTATCTAATGAAAGATATATATATATATACATATTCCGTAATATAATTTTTTAAGTACAAAAAATTCTTTTATATCGTAATAAACTTTTCAATTTACTTTATTATATGAACAAATGACACATACACATTTTCTAATGTCTTAAATATAACTTTAAATCATTATAAAACATATATGTCCTATTAATAACAGACTTTGAGTTCTTAATTGGAATTTTTAATCATACGCTTTGCGTGTAAATCAATTTTCAATAACGTCATCGTTAAACGTCCACACAAGCTTAGTTCTTGCAAATCTCATATCTTTAATTGGCAATATGTTTCCGGAGAACGATCATGCGTCCTCATATGGCTGTCACATATCGAGAAACCGGCATTCTATATCTGTTCAGCTGATCCAGATCGATTTTTCATTGTGATTTGATCACGACTTGCTATCCGAGATATAACGTACGAAAAGAAGTCAAACGAAAGGCTTTTCGTAGAGAACTGTGTATAAATATACGTACGTATCGTGACTCTGTTATAATGATGTTCACATTGCTAAATAATGTAAAAAGATGACAGGTTAAAATATTTTATTGTTGATGTCACTGTATCTACAATAGTGACCAAATTAGAGAGATTTTATTTAAAAAATTGATGTGCCTTAGAAAGCATAAGCTAAAAATCTAACAGACAAATTCCTTATCCGATTGTTTTACCATTTACGCAAATAAAGATTTTCGAATAGAACATATATTAAAATATATAAAAAGACGTAATAAGCCAGCCATGAAATTACTTATAACGTCAAGTATACAGGTACAAAAGTCATCTCAGAAAAATTGACACTAATTTAATAGAAAGTGGAGCAATAAATCTCCACCTCGAAGATTAGTAAAGCAGATTTAAAAAATCTATAAGGATATGATACGTATGTACATCGGTTTCATGATCCTAGCTAGTAATTTCCGTGTCGAGGAAAAGAAAAGTGTTTATCGGCTTCTACGAGTAAGAATTCCTACTATCGGTGAAGATAACGAAGATTGTCGTCGCGATAGTTCAAGACTGGATCGGGAAAGACAGACTCTGGCGCCAAAGAACGTGTAAAAAGAGAAAATCTATGGAGAGGCCGACCGGTTACAGAGCTCGATGACCGACCAGAAGCTTCCATTATATATATTTTTATAGCCTCGGGTTTTCTCAGAAATAGGTTATCTATAGATTCTCAGAATTCCATCGGGATGTATCCCAAAATTCCTCTCTGGCACTGACTTGATTGTCTTTAGTACTGTTAAGTATTGTTTAGTATTGTTAAATTTATAATGTCAATTTATACCTAGTATGAATTATTTTTAATCATATCTATAAGTCGCCACACTCATTAATTAAAATGATGGAGTTAAACAATTTAATTTAAGAAAATGCATTAAATTTAATTCAAATTTAGTTTATTAATGAATACGTTAATGGACTTTTTACTTTAAAACTCCAAAAATTTACTTTGAAAATTCAAAAATGGATTGATTTACGTTTTAACACAAATGGAAATGTTATTTAATTCAAGGGATTGAGTTACTATTACTCCTTTGATATCTAACAGTGTAGGATTGATTAACAGATTTACAAAAAATAACGTACGATACGCTTGAATCATTTCACTCTAGCTCTGACTTTATACCGGATGTTTTTTTCGTTTTTTCGCACAGACTACTGACAGCTTTTATATCGACACGTCTGTCGTTGTATATTCAATAATGAAATATTCCTCCCGCGGTCGAGATTTTACCGTTTTCGGAGACTGTCGTTCGTCATGACAAATAATTATGTTCGCGGCAATTTTACGTTATCGCGGAGCAGCGCCGATAAATCTTCGAGCGTGGTCTGCAACGCAATAAATACGACTGTACGTGCCCGAGAATAAGAAAGGAACGGCTATAAATGAGAATACGGAACTCCGCTTTTTTTATTCGTCTCTCTTTTTTGCCTCTTCGCCGCCCGATGATGGTTCGAGTTCGGGTAATTACAGAGTCAGACCGAGTTGACGTCATTGCGCTTCGTTAGTGTCGGATCCTGGTACGAAGCCAAGGACGGCCGTTTCCTTATCAATACTTCACGAGAACACGTGGACTCGGGGCTTGCAATAAAAGGTCGATACACGGTGCAGCCGTGTAGATTGCAAAATGGAATGCCATTGTTTTACGACGGCTGCCGTTTATACAATGTACGCGAAAGGGAGAGACTGACGTCGATTTATATGTCGGTGAGCGATTGAAACTGACATTAGAAAGTATCGTGCATTTTAATGCATACGATCAAATAAATCTACCATGATAAATTCGTTCGTATATTTTAGTTAGATCGACAAAGATTATTATTAATTGCAAATAATCTGTTTTAAACTTTCCTTGATGGTAAAAAAAATTCAACGTTTCTTGTTAACAAGAAAAATTATTAAGAAAAATTGAATTTTTTATGATTTTTCGGATGAATTACAAGCTTGTATATTTTAAATCATTACATTAAATCTTTACCAATTATATTTCAAATATTATATCGATTATAATATTTCAAATACTTATATACATGATATATGTAAAGATATTTATCTTCCCAACAAATGTCAGATCTCACGTAGAAATTGTTTCTCACTAGAAACTATGATTAAGTTTCCAACACTGACGTCGACAGATTTAGAAATGACGCTATTTAAAATTCGTTTATTATTTGAAGAGCTCACCTGCGTGAAATCGGCGCCGATGAAAGCCTGCTCCATACCAATCCATATCGTGATGGGTATCAACAGTTGCTGGTACGGTTTCTTCAACTGGTAAGCTGTAGCGGAGAGCAATTGGATGCCGCTCAATTCTTGGCTGTCCGATCGCCGTTGTTTCTCGCCATACCTGGAAGACAATTAGGAATTCTATGAATCTGTATGTCCCCTTGAGAAGTCAGTCAAATGTATAATTACGTTTTACCGACTTATTAGCTTATTGAATACAATGAGTTTCTAGCATAATTAAATACAAATGTACAAAAATAAAGCAAGTGCGCATAGTAATTGACCTGATTCCGGGAAGACAAAATTGCGACTGTCGAGCGATTCATTCTAATAATATGTTTCAGTGATAATGGAGGAATTTTCATTCACTCGCTTTTCTGCTGTCGGCAAAATCTGTGCAATTTTAATCAATTTTAGTTGAGAGAATAGTACAGACATCTACGTTTGTTAAAGTTAACACATAGCATTTGTGCCTAACATATCTCTCTCTCCTTCTCTCTCTCTCTCTCTCTCTCTCTCTCTCTCTCTGTGTATGTTAAAATGTAAAATTATTATTTATTGTTTTTAAAAGAATTTTTACGCATTGCTTGTAGCATTAACTTTTAATTACCTTTATTATTCAAATACTTATTTTTCTTTTCATAAAATTATTCGACATTTATTTCGAGATGGCAATGACTATTATATGCATATTACATACTACAGTGATCTGTGCGGTTATATTTTATGTTGAACATAATTTTATACGATGCACGTAATGCGGCATAAGTCAAGAGTTAGGCGAACAAAAGAACGGGAAACGCGAATGAACAATGATGATCAGCTGCCGCTCAGAACGTATGATTTTCCGGCAGACTTTTGCGCCGCTATTCGCAAAGAGGAAGAGCGCGCTCGCTCGGATGGGGATTAATGACGATCGCAATTAATTATCATCGCGATTGTACCATCCATGTACTTATTTAGTGTCCGTGCAGCGTGAGCCACGCGGAAATAAGTTGCGTAATTAGCAAACTTCCACTGCCATTGAACGGTGCCGCGTGTTCGAGCCGTGTTCATTCATTGTTTTGTATTGCGATTAGATAAACGAACATTGGGTGACGTATGATCCGATTCACATTTTATATTATCTATAATAAATCAGCAATTGGACAGAATAATAATTTTATCTAATTACTTTTTAATCTGATTACTTTTTGTTACAGTATTTTTTACGATGATATAAAAAATGACATTTAATATTTTAGATAATATCTCAATTATTTTACAAAAATCATTTTACATAAAAGATTTTTTTTTTGCTGACATTAATCTATCAAATGACTATTTAATAATCAGCAACATTCTAAAAAAATTCATCATGCATAGAATTCTATTTCATTAATTAATGAAAGAATTTAATTATATAGTAAGTAATATACGATATACACACATACTATGCGTCTAGTACTTTTATGCCGATATTTTTCATTGATATGATAAAAAAGGAAAAAAGTCGAAACATCGTATTCTCGCGTTGGCCAAAATGTTAATCTTTAGTAAGATCTTTAGTAAGATCGTAGTCTGAAAGATTTATGCGCTATAAAAATCGTACATGAAACGGTACTTCGGTCAATAAAAACTTCGAGATTAACTACGCAGTTGAAATTTGCTTTTGTATAACATTTTTCACGCGAGAGTATTCATTATTAATAGCAGATTCAACCGAAAAAAATCTTAAAAGCTTAAACAAGCTTTAAAAAATTACTCGTATAGCCTGTTGCATGACATTTTATTCAGTTCTCTTCATCTTATCATTTTACATAAAAGAATGATAATTGGATCTGAATGCATCTAAAATTTGTTTTATAAGAAATTATACAAAATTTGATTATATCGTTATAATAAATATTTTGAAATATAAGGGGAATATAATGAGATTTTAAAAACTCCTGTTGTATATTATAGAATTAACGGATGTCACGAGAATGAAAGTTTATTATCGCGTTTTTCGCGGCGACATCTAATGAATATAAGCCCGATATTAAATTTAGCGGACGAACCAGGCAGACGTAATCAGCCCTGTAGATCCGCGAGAAGTTAAAGCCCGAGATGGGCGCAATGGCCGATGCTGCGTCGGTGAGAATTCGTGAAATAAATCTCCTGATGCTAAACGCTCGGTATACGCTCGACAGCAAATGTTCTCCACCCGGGGGGACAGCATTCCTGAGAACACGTTTGCTGGATTTCTGGGCCCGGCCGAAGCCACGGCCATCGTCGACAGCCATCGTAGAGAGCGCGGTTCGAATCGACACTTATGCAAAAACAGGTACATGATTCTCTTTAGGCGGAAGGAGACGTCGAAAGGATGTGGGACGGTGTGATCTTTGACGTGATCTTCAGAGTGATCCTCGGCGTATCTTTTATGGCGATCTACACATTGGTCCATATTGCTTTCGAATCGTGTATCGTCATTAATCGCGCCTATTGATAGTTTGAGCGATTGTGACAAGTGATTATTCATCTTGATCGTATTGGGTGAAAGACGAATCATATCTGTAAACATCACGTTTTTTTCGTACGTTAATTCTTGATACAAATGTAACGTATTTTCGTACGCGAATATCCGTTGAAATTAAGAGAAATCATCATCTAATACATGTGTCTACTTGAAGGGTATGAATGTCTCGTCAGACAAAACTAATATAATAACGATTGATTTATAGATTTCACTACACGAATTCCGAAGGAATTGATATTCATTTTTGAGAAAGTTTTTTAGCGAAAATTGCCTAATTGTAGACTATTTATTAATTGTCAAAAAGCATTGTCATACAATTTTTAGATCTTCGATTTCGTTCACCATTTTTAAACCTTACAATGTTAATCATTAGCTAATTTATCACGATCCCTTAGGAAAAAGTATTTCAATATATTAAATAATCAGTTAATCGGTTAATCAGTTATATTGAAACACTTTTTCTTAAGGGATTTCAGGCCAAGCGGTGATATAAATTAAAAACAAAATTAATTTTCTATTTCACAATTTAACTACAATAATAATCTTTAAAATGAACAAAACCGTCTTAATTTATTAGTCTTCTATTTCAATACATTTGTAGAATTTTATATTTTATATTTTATTCGATAGCGTTAAATTATCTAGAAAAGCTACAAGATGAATTTTTTGAATCTATCAAATGTAACTCGCGATCATTCTATGCTTCATTATTATTAGAAGAAAAGAACTTTCTTGTCATTAATAATTATAGTAGTGACGCTATTTCCGCGCAGATTTGTGGCACGTGCACATTTTTTTCAATTGTCACGTGCGCGAGTGTCGCGCAATGCACTTACATTGTAACCAAACCGGAAAATCAATTTGGTTCGTACTCGTAACTTCTATGAATTCATGCTACATCATTTGCGAAAACCACAGTCTCTCTTCTCGAATAGAGAGAACAGAACGAATCGATGCACGTTGCATACATATTGTAAATACATACTTTGCGAAAATCGTGAGCGAATTTATATACGCATGAGTCGCCACGCGTTAATCCATATACATAATTCAGAAACTCGAACAATTTAATGGATTTCAATAGCAATCAATGCAATAGCAGTCCTCAGTGACTGCCGTAAAAAACGTTACATTATAGAATGTGATTACCATTACTAATTTTTCTCCTCTTGTGTTCTTTACCGATTATGTGCAATTTTTGTATTTGACCGCGGAAACGTTTATGTTACTATAATCTAAGAATTTCTTCTCGCATTTTTTAACCAAAGTTGCATTTTCACGAGCATAGTTCCGTTGCGCTTTCCAACGTGCACAGACTAGAACCGTTATGATGCAGCCTTGGAAGCAATGCAAATGGAAGATAGCGGAGATGTCTCAGCCGAGATCTGCGTACGGATCTAATACACTCGTTTCTTACGTAACATTCCCCGTAATATGCAGACATCACGGACGATGCTGTCATTACGACGAATGACGGTGGAAGGAAAGAGCGAGAGATCGACAACATGTAAGTACTCATAACACGCTCAGATCTTTCGACATTTTATGGACAATACGTTCCGAAGAGAAAGTTCAACGGATGACTTTGTTTGCGAAATTAATTCCGGCAAATTGATTCGATTAAACAGTCTTTCTCTTTTCTTTCATCACAAATTAAATTTTTAGATTCGATAAAGTATATATATTAACAGTTATTATCCGTCTGATTTAGAAACGAAGTGAGAGATACATTGTGAAATGATTATAGCAACAAGCTTAATTTATTACTGATTATTATTCAATTTGTAACACACAAGATTGAATTGGTTTTCTAAGAGGAAATGTATATAACTTATATATTTAGCACGATTTCGATATAATTTACGGCCATCTCGTTTTGCGGTTCGCCTTTCTCGACAACGCAGTAAACGTTATGCAGGTCAGAATTGTCTTTCTCTTAATAATATCGCCTTTCGAGTTGCAACGATGTAGTCACGTTTGTTGCTACAGCAACAAATGGCAACTGCACTCGTTAAACAGGTTCACTATTTCTCGAACCTGTCAGCATGTCAATGATGCATTTCATTTAGAGGAGATAAGTATAGAACACCTGTGTTTTAATCATAATTACTCGTATATTTCGTATCTCAAGATATTTAATAACTAATTTTCTAATCTTATATTAATTTTGAAAAAGTATAAATAAATATATATTAATTATTTAGATATTCAATTTCAAAAAAAAAATAATATTTAAAATAATAATATTTAAATAATAATATTTAAAATACATTTCTGCATATTAAATGATATTTCAAAATTTCTTATATATAATAATAAAATAGTTATTCTCTCTAAATCTAAACCCAATTAGTCTATTAATTCAAATAGTTTATTAATTTAAAAATTTTCTGAAGATATAATCCACTAGATATTATCGCTGTAATAATGCTTGTAATACATCGAGTAGATACGCGTTTAAGACTGTTGAAGCGGATATCGAAAGTGAGTCAAGTATTCCCGACATATTTTGTATATATATTTTTGTTTAATGCTCGGTGTACGCATCTATTTACGACCGAGGATAAATTAGCAGCATGCATGTACCGAGTCGACCGGAAAGGGATATGTGAACGAGAGAAACG